CGATGGACGTGCACCTTGAGCTAGGCGGAGTTGCACTCAGAGTCAATCCTGCGTTCCGCAGTTCGCAACGCCACGTCGAGAGATCCTCAACGCACGCTGTATGGGCGGAGACACAGACGGCTCGAGCATGCGAGTGTGAATGTTCGCGCGAGAGAACGTGTCTAATCGGGCGAAACTGCGCAACGTGCTGTTGAAAACTGCGCAACGCAGGGTTGGTGCAGTAATAGCATGGAGACCGGGAATAATGCCGATATATCTAACCTGAGAGGCCACTTCAAATATTGTTCACTAGATGCAGCATTTTTTCAAGCGAGAAAGGAGGCTGATCTAAAAAAAACATCAGAAGGTGGTACTTACCCTTTCACTCACGGTTTTTCCATAGATGTCATAGGCCACTTCCGCTCCTCTTTTACCACCCATGTAAGGCTTATACGATAAACGACCACGGTAGGTGCGTAGATCTGATCAGAAACGACATTAACATCAGAAAAACCAGAACTCAATGCAGAAGAACAGGCGAAAACAGACTACAAAGCTCCAGCTGCGGTAACTACTGCAAACATTCACAAATTGATGGTTTCCGTTTTGTCCGCAACTAATGGCTTGGAGCATAATACCGTAGCGTTTTTTAGAGCGTATGAGTTCAAATAGCAATAGTACGCATACCGCGTATATGTTCGAGAGTGCTTTCTCTGCTCACAAATACCCTGTTTGACGGTTTTTTTTTCAATATTGTAATTGTACTCAGATATGCTGCGCACAAGTTGGAAATTCCAGGTGGCAGAAACCGGCATTCCTACAGTGACTATCTTCGATTTACCTGGACAGCCATGACGTGATGAAAGTTTTTATAAGCCATCGCTCTTATTGGCCTTTACTGCAATCGACCCTACTTTTCGCTTAGTTTTAAATAATACTTGCGTCGCACAAAGTGGGAGTAATAAGCTGGAGGCGGGGAATGGCCTGGAAAAAAAGAATGCCAAAGTACCTCCGATCACGCCTCGCATAAGTACCCTTCTACTCCGCCGCATTTCTCTTATCTTCACAATGGGAAGGTGTTCCCTGGACGAGATTCACAAAACTATATGTACTGCTGCAGTGCCAATGGCGTTGAACCCTCAACGCAAGCGGTTCCGCAACTGCGCTCGCGCTTTTCTCGCAGGTCCAGTAAGCTTCTAGTGCCTTTGTCGTGCACTTTCTAACCACAGAAGGGGTGCGATACCAACGCTTGTCCGCCTGTACACCATATTTGAGGGAAAAAAGGTGAGCGTGATTACTGTGATACGTTTTTCGATTGAGCCCGGATCTTGTCAGGTTTTGTTTCTGAAAGACTGGCATTAAGGCCATCACGGTGGGACCTTGAATCTCACTGTAGTGAATTTACTGCTGTGAATTCCCCTACATTTGATGTGACACTTTGGATGAGCTGACAACAAATAGGCACATCGTCACGTCATCGTCATTTCGCCATGCCCACCGTAGCTGCCACTTGCTCACGGGTATTTCGACCAAACGGATATTGTGACCTCTTCTTATCAGCCGTATTTTCCCAACTGCAGCCGTGCGACCTCAGCTGTTTTAGCGAACTGAACGCCCTACTCGTTGGCAAGCGCTACGACAATTCGTTGATCATCTATACTGACATCAAAAGCATCTTGTCTATACTTGTTGAAATGAAGAAGCTGCGCGGTGTCCAGTGTTTTCTAGACGCTGGGATCGGGTCGTCAACAACGACAAGATCTGCTTGACTTAACCCTAAAATATTAATTTTTTAAATATTTTTTGTTGAAAATTCTATTCAAACATGTTTGAATGAGATGGACTAATATTTCGAGTGGACGTCAGTAACCACTAATCTGAGCAGCCGAGCTGCTCATGAAACCGATTTCCGTCACTGTTACTTTTTCAGCTATCTAGGTAGCTTCCTCAAAGAGAAATGCACGATGCGAACGTTCGCCGAGTTCATCGCCTTCAGAGCGTCGAGATCATCGCCTCTACTTAATCTGGATCGATCTGCTATAGCTCGCTCAACGCTTATGCTCAAATTCGATAATTTAAAGGAGTTGGGTAATATTCTGCTTAATTTCACCGAGACCCCCTTGTACGATTCCTTGTACTTTCCATGCAATTCATTTGCGCAAATGAGAATGGGTCGAAAACTTACTCAAGGTTCGGACGAGACCTCCAAGAACGAATCGATTGGATCCAAGTGATTTCCGCCATCGCTCGCTTTCAATGTCTGAACAATACGCCCATAACAAACAGGTAACGAATTGCATGTTTATCCACAAAACTTTTTATGAAGAGGAGGAACCACGAGGTGGGAGTACAGATTTATGACGATTTCGCTCGAACATAACGAACCACCTGTCCTACTAATTGTGACAGAACCTTTCGAAAAAATGAAAACGGTGATGTGAACGGTGGCGTCCTTGAAGGTTCTCAAAATCACACCCAGCTAGTTCTAGATACATATTTCAGTGGCAGCAGAATTGCGCATATAGTCCCCGATTCCTTTTTGCTGCGCACCAAAAAATTCATTCAACACGAAATACCGTGAACCCCTAATTTCCTTTAGTTTTTATTATGAGCTTTAATGTCTATATTTCTTTCTCGTGAACAATTCTCGTGAACACCTTCTGCACAGAAAGTGCAGAAGGTGTTTACGAAAATTCTGAATCACAGATGTTTTTCGAACTGTTATCAGTCTATGCCCAGCTATCAAGAAAGATTAAAGCTCTTGAAATTGAAGAGCCTGCTTTATCGGCGAGTGTTTTCTGATCTTGTTTTCTGCTTCAAAATACTCAAAAATGAAACCAAGTTACAAGCCAGCAAATATTGGACATTTTTACCTTGTCGAGGTCGGAGTAGCTTTCTTGGTTTGCATTGTGTGCGACTCAAAAGAAGGCGGCAGCACTGATTACAAACTCGCTGTTTTTCCTCGGCGCGAAATGGCTGGAAATGCTGCCAGCTAGTGTTCTTGAATCTCCGAAAGTGTCCATATTTCGTGAAAGATTGAAGAAGCTTGACCTTCTTATCATTTTGGTATTCCAGATTTCTAGTCGTTCCGATGTTTCTAGTAGAAGCCTTCCCGTAAGCTGGCTACATATTTCTCCTGAGATGTCGATGGAATGATGTCTAGCTGCATGTGCTTTTCTCCTGAGACGTCAGTGAAATGGTGTCTACTGCGTGGATGGACCCTTATACGGTTGCGGTGGCTGGTTCGCTGGACGTGCTGGCTGATTTACCTCAGTGGTTGTCGAGGGCCGATCAGAGTGCTGTCTCCTTCTATTGAACGTCGTCTTCAACATTTTCGATATGCTGGATGTCTCACTTATTTCTTGTTTAGCACTACATCTGCTTTTGCTTTTCAAGGTCCAGCGGACATGTGGTTCATTTTTCCTTCTTTCTCACATGGACTATGCATTCAGGTGCCTCATGCTATTGAGATAACCTCGCCTTCAGACCAGAAATTGTGCAATTGCAGAAATTGACGTGGCATTAACGTGGCATCGATTCAAGAACATCTTTGAGCACACGTGATGTCACCTTTTCATCGAGAATTTAGCCACGTGTGCCACGTGGATTTCTGGCTGCATGAAACAGAGGCACACTTTTCCCTCCTTCGACCACCATTGACCCGATTTTTGACATGTATACACAGGATCATTTGCCCCTGGTTACATCACACACTTACTAAGCGGTTTATCCGTGGCACTCTCCTAGCTTACCGATTCCACGTGGGATGTCGGTATACCCGTGTTTCGAAGTCTCGGTAAGCCCCTATGACCCCAAGTGTGGCGAGCGGGCACCATAGCCGACTGGTGCAGGTCTGTGTTGCGTTCAACCTCTGGTATAGGTATAGTGTGTTTTGTAGCCTCGCAAGCATACTGATCGTGTGTACTTTGATTCAGCTTGAGTGCCTTTCCGTGCAGCGGGAATGCAGCCTGGTCCAATAGGTTCAAAAGTGGTATAGTGGCACTCTAGGAGTATTCCTTCCCCTGCGATTGAGCTAATAGTATGAACCTCCTGTCCGACAGGATTCTTGCTATCTTTTCCGTTGTTTTCCTTTTGGTATTTTTTCTTCTTCTGCCCGTTCTAGATAATTCGGAATATCTTTTTTCATCTTAGCGAGCCCAGGTCGTATTGCTCTACATGCTCTTTACATATTAAATTTTCACTAAGGCTTTTATATAGGAAAACTGAATTTTCTCAAAACTGAGTTGTTCTTTTCCCGTTATGCCTGGTGTTTTTTTGACCTGCGGCTCTAGCGATCAGTGATGTGATCCGGCGGGATCACTGTCGGTGGTAAGCGCGGTCAACTCGTGTCACTGCACCCATTCCGGCATCTTTATCTTGTACTTGTTGAAAAAAGGTGCTGCTCGTGTCCAGTTTATTCTGGACGCTGCGATCGGTTCGTCAATAACGACAAGACCGCTCGACTTAACCCTAACATATTGATTTTTTAAGTTATTTTTTGTTGAAAATTCTTATTCAAACATGTTTTGATGGAGATGGATATATTTCACGGCACTTCATAATGCTACCCGGGAAAAGAACAACCCGGGACCATCATCGAACGCTGTTGATTGGGTGGTCCAGAGTTGCGGTGTAGAAAGCATGACGTTATATGAGTGTCTCGACCTCTGGACTTTTGGCCGATGTACACTCCTGAATGAACGTCATTGTAATGTTGTACCTCTACCCAATAAGCGTTTCTTCAGGGTGCATTCGCATGCACTTTCATGGACGACAATGTGTGACCGCATCGAAGAGATCAGGTGAGGAATCTTGGAAAGAAAGGATATTCGACGAATGATCAAGGTTGTGCCGCTTCTCTGACCCTAGTCCCTTTGAAACACGTGTGCAGTGCACTGGAAGAAGTATTGCAGTACGTCCACACGAACCAGTACCTGTCCAGCAGTTGTCGTTTGTGGTGTTCAAGGAATGCAACTCCTTTCCACAGGAACTCCTTACCAACCTAAAAGCCAGTATAGGAGCAAGTTGTAGAGCATGCGCTGCTATCCGTACGGTTCAAAGATCTAGTGCTCACACTTTCCATTAAGAACCATATCCATTCTCCTAGAGGATCAGCATGATTTGCAGTGAATTCAGTGTAACATTCATTGTCTTAGAGAAAAGGTTCTTTTCTAATCGTCCTGTTGCGCGTTGTTGTAAGTAACCTGTTAACTATGTATACTGAAGGATATCCTTCTATTTAGGTTGCAATTTCATTGAGCTACGTAGCCTAGCCGTAAAATCTACGCAAAACTTACTTTCGTTCGTTCAAAACGCCTGTCATTCGTGGAGGTACTATGAAATATAAAGTTGGTGAAGACTCAATTTTAGGCGTTATTTTCCTAATTATAAATAACTTTTTATCATTTTTCACTCATTACTTT